CCGACGGTCCCTGATATCTGACCCAGGAGTCTTGCGACCCCGGGGCCGGACCACCATTCTGAGCTAATAGCCTGGTGGTCTCCGTTGGTTGCGGATCGTCATTCCATGCGTTTGTGGCAGGTTGCCCTGCTTTGGCTTCAGCATGAAAAGTTTCGGCGCGGTGACCATGGCTGAAGATGCCACCAATATTGCCAGGGGTTCGCTCAACAATATGAGCGCATGACCTCATGCGTTCAAGCGGAGAATCGCATTGCTGTTGATTCCTCTGCATTTGGTGGCTGAGTGGCTGTCGGAGTTGTTGCACGCGCGACGCCCCCACTCCTAAGGCTCTGAACCGAATAACCGTTAAGAATTGGAAGTTGGGGATGTAAAAGCCTGCCGTTTCAGCCTCATAGCGGGCTATCTCGAAGCGCGCCAATGTCTGGTCGATCCGTTCTCCCGCATGGACTCGGAAATCGATGAGAGCAGTACCCGAGTTAAGCTGGCGTTCCTCCTCTAAGTTCTCAAAATTCGTGCTAAGGAAGAACATAGTGTAGGGGGCACCATCAATATGACGGCCACCTATCTTGACGCCAAAATTAATACCTGCCGGGGGAACTCTCATGGCGATCGTCCGCGCGAGGCCTCCCAGACCACGCTGCAATGTTGCAGCCTGTTCGGAGGGCGTCATAGTGCCTGTGGTCACGTTGATCCAAGCATGTACCTGTTGAACAAATTCACGGACAGGTACTAGACCGGCCGGGCCCCAGTGGGGGCCGGTTGTTTCTGTGTCGTCTCCGCCGCGCATGTGTCCCGCAGCGCGCCCGATAGCAACCCGCATAATACCAAAGATAATAATGCCAGTCCATCGGCCCCGTAGGTCGTAGTCGGATGTTGGTGACTGACGTTTGCGGTGTTTTGTTGTACGCCTGCGTGGGGGTGGAGGCGTCACAACATCGTATCGCATGTTGATATGCACTGTATATTCGATTTTTTTTGGAGTAGGGGGGTGGACGTCAGGAGTGTAGTAGCGCAGGGATGTTGGACTCGAGTGAGAGGCCTCCGCGAAAGCAGAGGCAACACTGCAAGTGTCGTTGCGGTTGTGCATAATTATGGACATTCCTCCGCGCGGACCCATTGCACCCTGATGTTCCACCATGTCAGTAGTCCACCAGATGACGCCGTGGATGGTGCGGAATAGAGCGAAAGCTGACCACCATAGGCGAGCTCCGCTACCAAGTTTGAAGGGGCCGGTAGGCCCGTCCAGAGCCTTCGCCTTAGGCGAAGCGCAGCTCCAGCTCTGTTGTACCGTAGTAAGAGTAGCCCCAGTCGGAGGAGGTCGTCGCGGGAGCGACGGGCCATCTCAAGCGAAGCATGTTTTCGGTCTCGATGGCAAGTAGTATGCCTCGCAATGAGGCGCAATCGTATGTTGGCGGCCGGCCGCTTGAACACAAACGGCCGCGGACAAACGCTCGCTATCTCTCGCCCTTATCGCAGTTCACTTTAGAGTCAGAGATGCCGGAACTCCCGGCGCGGCCCCGGGGACCCCCAGAGCGCTCCTGGAGCGCCCGAGGGAGCCGCCGAATAGATGGCAGGCCCCACAGCCTCAGGCCAAGAGCGTTCCAAGACTGCTCGAAGCAAACAAAAACATCGTTTCCTATGAATTTTTGAAACAAATCTCAGCGTTTTCGCAGTTTCCGCTTCCCGACGCGCCAAGACAGCCCAAGAGGCCCCAAAGACCGCCCAGAGATGGCCCAAGAGGTCGCCAAGAGGGCCCCAAAACGGCCCAAGAGGGCCCCAGGACGGCCCAAGACGCCTCCAAGACTGCCCAAGAAGCTCCCAAGACGGCTCCAATAGAGGACCCAAATGAAGCACCCGAGCGGACATTTCGAGCCCTCTGCCCCAAGATGCCCCTGGGAGACCCCACGGCGCCCCCAAGACGCCCCCAAGAGGCCCCAAGAGGCCTCAGGAAGCCCCCTGAAAAGGCCGCATGAGGCCCCCAAGGAGGCCCCAGTGATGCGAAATGGGTTGGCGGAGTGAGCGAAGCGATTGAATAGTGGTCGTGGCTGAGTGGGCTGGCGGCAGGGATACGCGAACCGACAAGAATTGACCATGCCATAACCAGTTCCTCCCAGTCCTCCAACACACATTCCTCATCTTCCTGGAGCGCGTTCGTCTTGTTTCATGCTCTGCATTCTCTACATTCTATGTTTCTGCGGCTTTCAAAAACACGGCTCGATGGCGCAGTAGTTGCCATGCATGCTCTGCCGCGGTAGGGATCAGCGCGGAGGGCGGAGAAAAGTGGGGACGAGCAGGGAGGGAGGCCAGCGACGCTGCTACGCCTAGTTCACGCCCACAGGCCTGGAGCACATTTCAGCATGTGGGAGTACAAATACGTCACGAAGAACGCGCTCCAGGAAGTTCTTTCTTCCTGGAGCGCGTTCTTACAAGAACTCCGAGGCAAGTTGATTCGGCGTGTGGGTTTACAAAATCGAGGCTCCGACTCAGCTCTGCAAAAGCTACAGCCTGAGCTCAGGTTCTGCTTGGCCCCCCAGGCCCCTCCCACGGGAGCCCGATCTGGTCAATTTGGAGGGGGGGCCCGGCACAAACGCATCTAGACGGCCTCAAGACGGGCCAAGAGAGCCCCAAGAGGCCCCCGAGACTGTCCAAGAGGGCCCCGAGACGCCGACAGATCGCTCCAAGACGCCCAAGATGGGCCCAAGACGGCCCCAGAGCTCCCGAGACGCCCCAAGAGGACTCCAAGAGGCCTCCCAAGAGGGCCACAAGAAGCAAAAACCGTTGACTTTCATTTGTTGTTTCAAAGTTGTTTGCCTTCACGCGTTTTCTGGCTTCCGACGCTCTCACATTGCCCAAACGGCCCCCAAGGCCGCCCCAAGTCGCCCCAAGAGGCCACCAAGAGGGCCCCAAAACGGCCCAAGAGGGCCCCAATATTGCCCCAAGAGGGAACCAAGAGGAGGAACGTGAACGGACAATTCTAAATTTCCGGCCCACGAAGCCCCCAGGCGGCCCCAAGAGGCCCCAAGAGGCCCCGAAGAGGCCCAAAAGAGGCCCCAAACCAGCCCTCCACAGGCCTCCAAACTGCATCAAGGAGGGAGAGGCTTCTCACGAGATCCCAACGAACATCCAAAGGCCTCTGAACCACAACCCACCGACATTTCTGCTCTATTTGGGGTCTTGGGGGCCTTGGGGCCGTTTTCGCTTCCCGGGGCCATCAAAGACGTTTCTGCGATGAACAAATGGGTCCCGTGGGTGCCGGAATCGTTCTGAACGGCCGCTGGAGACCCAAGTTATAGCCGAAAGACCAGATCCTGATTTCTGCTCCTCCTCCTCCTCTTCCTTCTCCTTTTCCTCCTCTTCCCCATCCCCCTCATCTTCCTTCTCGCCCACCTCCCCCCCCCACACCTCCTACTCAGCATCCCTCTTGTCGTTGTCATCGCCCTCCCTCTGGCTCTCTCCCCCTGCCCTCCCTTCTACGGAATTCGACATGTGTAACGTCAGTGGAAGTATGATCTCTCCGATATGGCCCCCCAAATGGGTCTCACTTGCATGAATGGCACTGCAAAATGAATTTCTCAGCGCGCGCGACAGTGCCACACGCCACGGGGAACGCCCACTACGGCAATTTTCTTTGGCACGCCCACGCGGCGCCCACGACTGGTCAGGATATCTCCAAGATCGTTCCAACACAATCAAGAAGCCCCCGAAACAACCCCCCCAGCGGCCAAAAGACCTCTCCCGGACAGCCTCACGACGGCCCACGAGCGCCCGAAGAGGGCCCCGCAGACCTAGAGACGGCGCAGGCGGGCTCCTGGGAGACTCAAGAAACTCTCTACGCAGCCCCAGGAACTCCACCGCAACAGTTTCCGAGACAACCCCACAGCGCCCAGAGGCAGCCCCAACCGCCCCCGGAGGGCCCCCAAGGGGTCGGCGGTGTGGCGTAAGCCCGAAGGTCCACGTCCGGAAGTGACGTGCTGAGCGGCAGCGTTTTCCGCGGCTGCTGTAATGCAACGTACCCAATGTATCCAATGATTGCGTAATTGCCACATATTGCATTATGTTACATTATTATGTATCCCCCCCTAGAGCTGCGCAACAGGAGCGGACCAAAGTGCCCCCCCCCCCCCCTCCCGGGGCTCAAAAACCCGCCAAAACCTATAGATAATTTATGATTTCGACGTCTTGGGCCTCCTGGGGGGCCAATAGGGCGCCAAGACGGCTCAAGATGGGTTGGCTCTGTGCGGGCCAAGACGGCCCCGAGACGGTCCAAGACCACTGACGGCCCAAGAGGGCCCCAAGAGCGCCCACAACTGCGCCTCCAGAAGCCAAAATCATTGATATCCCTTTCGTTTGGTAATATTTTAGCGTTCTCGCCTTTGCGGCCCAAGCAGCTTCCCAAATCGCTCCAGAACAACCCTAGAAGCCCCCAGGAGGGCCCCAATACGGCCCAACAGAACCCCAAGACGGCCCAAAGAAACCCCCAAGACGGTCCAAGAGGCCCCTATGACGGCCCGAGAGGACCCCAAGACGGCCCCAAGGCGGCCGCGAGAGGCCCCCAAGACGGCCTCCGAAGGGGCGAAGAGGCGCAAAAGCGCCCCAATACGGCCAAAGACGCCCCCAAGAGGCCCCAAGAGGCCCCCAAGAGGCCCCCAAGGGGCTCCAAAAAACCCCCAAGAGGCCTCCAAGATGTCCTCAAGAAGCCTCCAAAAGGCTCCAAAGAAGCCCCCCCAAGGCCACACAGCGACTGGAGTGTAATGTCATTTTTCCAACCTGGGCGAACTGCGGCGCAGCGCCTGCCAGGTGGAAGTTGGTCACAGCGGCGCCCATGATTAGAGCCGGCGCTGGAAGGAAATATGGGGAGGGAGTATGAAAAGAAGGGAGGGAGGAGAGGCCCCAAAGAAGTCCCCAAGAGGCCCAAGGAGGCCTCCAGGAGGCCTCCAGGAGGCCCCCAAGAGGCTCCCAAGAGGCTCCGCGACGACGTGACTGTACGTGAAAGGGCTGACTGAGGGAGGGCGGAGGAGGGAGGAGGTAAAGGGGAGGAGGAGCAGCAGAAAACCGACTCACTCGTCAGAGGTTAACCCTCCTTGGTGCCACCGTGCATTCTACTGAAGGCGCTGCCCGGGGAACGAATATGCTGCACTCAGACCGTCACTTGCTGCTCTTCCTCAGCACTGTAGTGACTCGCGAGGCGCTGGGCCTCCTCGAGAGCCTGGTCGAACTGCTGCTGCACAACGAGCTCGAAACGCGGAAGACCATCGGTGAGCAGGCGCGGATGCAGGAGCTCCGAGCGCAGACGCTCCGCCAGGGGCGCCGCAATCTGCGCAACGGCGGCCTCCAACTCCTGCGCGGCGACGAGCCCAGGGGGGAAACGAGAGGCGGCGGGCCTTCTCAGGAGGCGGCGGGACTTCTCAGAGCCCTCCGGCCTCCGGAGAAGCCCTCCGTGCCTGCGGAGGGGACTCAGACAACTTCTGAGAGGGCCCGAGGGCCTCTGCGCCCTCCGAGAAGGCCCGCCCCCTCTCGTTTCCCATCCGGGCCCGCCGCCGACCTTCGGCACGATGCCCGCCCGGAGCAAGCGGGAGCTCTGCTCCGACGCGGCATCACGGGCCGAGGCGTTCACCTGCGCCCACAGGGAAGACACCACCGAGCTCAAGGCCTCGTCAACACCACCCCGCACGCGGCCCTGCTCCGCGGGCCTGATCTGGCTCTCGGCTTCGTGGACCAGCGTCCACCCGGCTGTGACCCAGGCGAGCTCTGCATGACGCCGCTCTTCTGCAACCACCGCGGAGAGGTAGCGGCGGACTGGCCCATCAGATGCCAGGTGGTGTCCCACCAGTGCCTTCAACACCGCCGGTGTCTCCCCTGCGCACGCCTCGTTGATCGTTCTCTTCGCGAAGTCAACCAAATCGCCACCTGCGGGCTCACGGGACAGTCCATCAATCCCAGTCACACGGAGAGGCACGGCAGACCAAGAGCTTGCCAAGGCCAACGCCATCTGGGCATGGCGAATCTCCTCACGCGCGGCGACCAGGGTTCGATCAATGAGACCAGCTGGGGCCCCATGCTCCATGAGCTCAAGCGCTGCCCGCGAGAAGGATGCCACGGATGCATGTTCAGCCAACCCAACTCTTTGGTAGTGACGGATCCGCCGACCCCCGCTTGCTGGGGGCGAAAGGGCGTGTGAGACATTTGGCTGTCCCCCCTCCCCTTTCCCCCTCCCCCAGGGTCCAAAATCTCGCTTAGGGAGGGGGGGAGGGGGGGGAACGAGCTCGTCAACGCACCCCCGCGGCCTCGGGAGCTTCCGAGAAGCCCTACGACTGCCCCAGAGAGCCCACACAGAGCGCCAACACAGCCCCAGAGAGCGTCGAGACGGCCCACGAGGCCTCCAAGACTGCCCACACCTTTCCCCAAATGACGCCCGAGGAAAGCCCCAAGAAGCAAAAAACGTCCCATTCCTGGAAGAAAGCGTACATTTTGGCATACTCGCCTTCTTCGTCCTCACAGCGTCCACGACGGCCCGAGACGGCCAAAAGGCTCCCGAGATCTTCCCAAGACGGCCCATGAGGCCTCCAGGAAGGCCCCAAGCCGGCACAAGATGGCCCCTAAGACGGCCCCAGGGGCCCCCAAGACGGCCCCCAAACCGCCCAAGATCGCAAAAGAGGCACCCAAGAAGACCCCAAGAGGGGCCCAAGCGTGGGAATACGAACTGACATTCCGAGCTTTCAACCCAACATGGCCCCAAGCGGCCCCCCCGACGACCCCCAGGCGGCCCCCAGAAGCTCCCGGGAGTCCTCCCAGAGGCTCCCGAGAGGCGCCCCTGAGACCCCCAAGAAAACCCAAAACAGCCGTCCTGATGTTCCCTAGAGCACAGTCAACCCGTGCAGTAAGGATGCGCGATAAGGATGCAAGGCCATTGGAAACCCATTTTGAAGTTTTCGAGCGGGGATGCACCGATGGCGAAGTGGCCAAGGATGCACCGAGGAGGCAAGGATGCAAGGGTATCCTTGGGAAGGTTGCCCGTCCTTACATTGCGGGTTGACTGCACTCCAAGAAGTCCCTGAGCGGCACTGCAAAGACCCTCAGATGCATCCCAGAAACTCTTCAACCACAGCCCAGGACTCCAAGAAGTCCCTGAGCGGCACCGAAAACACCCTCGTATGCATCCCAGCACCTCTTCAGCCACAGCCCGGGCACGTTAAGGGGGACTGCCTGCTCTCCATCTTTGCTCCTCCACTTTCCTCTTCGTCTACTTCTTCTTCCTCCTCCTCCTCCTCCTCCTCCTCCTCCCCCTCCTCATCATCCTCCCCCTTCCCATGTTACCCCCTATGCTCCTCGGAGCACTCACAATATTTACCCGTCCTCGTACTCCTTGCCCTTCCAATATCCGGCCCCGAGTCAGTTACTACACAACCGTCGTTTCGCCCCACAACCACAACGACCAACAACATCGAAGGAAACAAGCCATGCGGCACCGTTCAACCAACTACTCCTATCCCCATCATCCTCCTCATCCTCTCATGGTCATCATCAGCATCATCCTCATCGAGTCGAGCGGCTGCCAATGAGAATACTGGGCTGGCACGCCGAGGGACTTGCCTCAGGCAGCTGGATACATGAGGCACACGCTGATTTCTAGCACTGTTGCTTTGCTTCGCTTCACGACACCGAAGACGGCTCAAGCAATCCCCTTGATCGATCTGAAACGGCCCAAGGAACTCCCAAGAGAACCCCAGAACGGCCCAAGAGGGTCTCACGACGGCTCAAGAGGTGCCCAAGCCAGCCGAACGAGAGCCCCAACATGGCCCCAAGAGGCTCCCAAAAGAAGCAACTGGAACTCACACCCCGAGGACCCCGGAGACCGCCAGCAGGCGCCCAGAAAGGTCCCAAGACGCCCAACAACTGCCTCAGAGACCCCAAACAGTCCCCCAGAGCCCCCAGAGGGCCTCCCCCGAGGACTTCTTCCCTCCTCTGGGGGTCGGCGGAATGGCGTAAGCCTCTAGAACAATTTCATCGTCTACCTCCGTGTTTCTGGAGAGCTTAGTTTCTTCAAGGCTGCCATCTGCTGGCCAAGAGCTCCAATCACAATCGCCTGATAGAGCTCGGTTCCCGTCATAACTGCCTTTCGAGGATGGGGCCGCAACGACACTGGCGACTAAAGCACCGGAGTCTGTGGAGTACATACGGCCAAAGCCAGTCTCTTCTTTACAAGTCATAGAGCACATTTCCTCACCCTCAGGACAACTGCTGGGCTCATCTCGGATACAGCGGGCATTGCCGTACATGTTCATCGACGGCGCAGTGCTGTTCGTGCCGTTGCAATACTGGATCATACCATCACAACTTCCCAACAGGCCTCCAGCCGGGCACGCCTCGCACCTTTGGTCAGTACCACAACCAACCCAGTAGCAAGAGTGTCCTGATTCTGCCTCGGATGCTGTGCATGTTGCCGCAGTTTCCTGTTGTGAGCAATGTTCAATGGTCTCTGAGTTGTCACCACATCCTCCTAGCATGGTCGCAAGCAGAACCATCGCAGCTGCCTGAACCAAGCAACTGCTCATGACTGCTCGCGATGAACGGCCCATTCTTTTGGTGGAGAGCGCGGAACAGAGTACGTTTGAGGTATAATGGAACTGGTGCTTTAGCCAAAGTCCTTCTCCTTGAGCCAGCATAACATGCGCTTGAGGGATCTAATGAATCCGCCCGATGACCTGTGCGGAGCGAAGGGCATCACATGGATGGAAGCAAGAAAGTGCCGCGTACATACTTTGGCCACTCATGGACAACCTTGGTGCTGCATTTAAACGGTGCGAAACACTGACAATTACCTAAGTCGCCTAATTTGGTGCGCGACCCGCGGGCGCCCTCGTGTCGCCGCCCTGGAAGAGGACACCTTAGCAGCCCAAGCCGCGACACGCGAAACGCGATTATCTTCGCGCCCCTGGGGTGACCTAGCTTACCCGTGACATGTCCGAACTGTCGGAATTGTTGTGATCATATGCGCCCGGGACGGTGACTGGATCATCATCATAACCATCATGGTGATATCATTACCGCCGTCATCATCACATCAGCAACATCACCGTCATCCTCGTCATCGTCATCATCATGATCAGCGTCAGTATCGTCATCATTTTCATCATCATAATCACTCCATGACAGGCCAAGAGGGTCCCAAGAGGCCCCCAAGCCACTCCAAGAGGGCCCCGAATTTCGACATGCTCAGGCCTTAAGAAGCCTCCGAGAGGCGCCAAGATACCCTCAAGAGGCAAGAGAACCCGAGAGGAAATTTGGGGAAAAACTGACGAATCGCCATACATAATGCCAAATGCGCCCGATAAACCGATAAACCGATGAACACCCAGTAGTAGTGATAGTAGTAGTAGAAGTAGTAGTAGCAGTAGTAGTAGTAGAAGTAGTAGTAGTAGTAGTAGTAGTAGTAGTAGCAGTAGTAGTACTAGTAGTAGTAGTAGTAGTAGTAGTAGTAGTAGTAGTAGTAGTAGTAGTAGTAGTAGTAGTAGTAGTAGTAGTAGTAGTAGTAGTAGTAGTAGTAGTAGTAGTAGTAGTAGTAGTAGTAGTAGTAGTAGTAGTAGTAGTAGTAGTAGTAGTAGTAGTAGTAGTAGTAGTAGTAGTAGTAGTAGTAGTAGTAGTAGTAGTAGTAGTAGTAGTAGTAGTAGTAGTAGTAGTAGTAGTAGTAGTAGTAGTAGTAGTAGTAGTAGTAGTAGTAGTAGTAGTAGTAGTAGTAGTAAGTAGTAGTAGTAGTAGTAGTAGTAGTAGTAGTAGTAGTAGTAGTAGTAGTAGTAGTAGTAGTAGTAGTAGTAGTAGTAGTAGTAGTAGTAGTAGTAGTAGTAGTAGTAGTAGTAGTAGTAGTAGTAGTAGTAGTAGTAGTAGTAGTAGTAGTAGTAGTAGTAGTAGTAGTAGTAGTGTAGTAGTAGTAGTAGTAGTAGTAGTAGTAGTAGTAGTAGTAGTAGTAGTAGTAGTAGTAGTAGTAGTAGTAGTAGTAGTAGTAGTAGTAGTAGTAGTAGTAGTAGTAGTAGTAGTAGTAGTAGTAGTAGTAGTAGTAGTAGTAGTAGTAGTAGTAGTAGTAGTAGTAGTAGTAGTAGTAGTAGTAGTAGTAGTAGTAGTAGTAGTCGTAAGAGTAGTAGTCGTAAGAGTAGTAGTCGGAGTAGTAGTAGTAGTAGTAGTAGTAGTAGTAGTAGTAGTAGTAGTAGTAGTAGTAGTAGTAGTAGTAGTAGTAGTAGTAGTAGTAGTAGTAGTAGTAGTAGTAGTAGTAGTAGTAGTAGTAGTAGTAGTAGTAGTAGTAGTAGTAGTAGTAGTAGTAGTAGTAGTAGTAGTAGTAGTAGTAGTAGTAGTAGTAGTAGTAGTAGTAGTAGTAGTAGTAGTAGTAGTAGTAGTAGTAGTAGTAGTAGTAGTAGTAGTAGTAGTAGTAGTAGTAGTAGTAGTAGTAGTAGTCGGATGCGGAGACGCATGGCCGCACTTTGGCAGCGCCTTCGTTCTGCAATAGACGATGATGCTGTTCTGTAAGGACAACCTTGGCCATATCGGCTATAGAACACAGCTCTATACTTCGGCCATACCTGTCGCCATCAAGCGTATAGTCTTCGTCATAATGCGGGTTCACGGGGACATGGTAAACGTCTGACTTGTGGTAATGTGCGTCTCCGCGATGACGAGTATCTGGGTCGTTGATGGCAAAATGTAAACAAGACCGTCTGGTCAGGTATCCTCATGCGTGGTAGTTTGCAACGAGGTGCTAGCGCCATAGTCTCAAGATGCTCGCGCTCACCCTGAAGTCCTGTACGCCAAGCTTCGAGGACATGCGTCTCCAGGTCGTCTTCATATTCTTCTTGGATCGTAGGGGGGCGCCCTGTAGGCGGGGGCACTTCGTTCTCGGGCGTTTCCGCCAGTCGTGAGTCACCGCGCGGCGCAGGGCCGCTTGCGCCCCCCTTGAATTTTCGGGAGTTCCTCATCGAAGCTAGCCTGAGGCGTAGATGGTTTCAGGCGCTGTATTACCCTGTATGTGTAGACCCACTGATCGCGCGCGTGTCGAGGGCTGTGCCGTTCGACTCGTAGCAGTGGAAGCCCTGTTGTAGCATCTCTGTCATTGTAGACAAGGTTTCAGCTGTCAGCGCACGTGGCCGCCGGCAGTCGGTGGATACTTTCCGCGAGTCGGCCTGCGACCGCATTTTCGATCCTGAAGTAGTTTCAGATCGCATATTATAATGCTAAATGCACCTTGGGTGAAAGTTTGCTGGGCGTGGTCATCCGCAAGTCTCCTTCCTTTGGTGGTAGGTATCCAAAGGTCATCGCAAGTCTCCCCGCAGGTAGACGCGCGATAAAGGCAAGTACCGTTCGAAATGCTGCGTTGTCCGAGCCAAGTTCTCGGACCACCAGCACCTCAATGTAAAGCTCGTGTGTCTACGGTCTGGGTAGTGAACAGCACCTTCGCGATTGCCGCGACCCGCGCTATTGCTATCCATTTCAGGATCGCTGCGGGCGGCTGGGCGTGGACCGTTCCAACGTCCCCAATCGCCCTTCGTTGTGGTGCGCTGGTGGTAATCCACTAGATCACCGTCGAGATAGAGGATCTGGCCTGGTGGCGTCGTCTGAGTGCGGAATGCTCGGTTAGCTTTCGCTGCCGCAGTCGCCTGAGTGATGGCCTCCAGGCTGATCTCGCGCATCCGCTGTTCTCGCGAGTGGTCTGACGTTTCCGTCCTTTGTTCGTGGTCCAAGGACGGCGCGTCTGGTGGACGTGCTTGCTGACGTCCGCACAGCGCCTGATCCGGATACACTCCATTGTAGAATGTAAAGGCGCTGGTCACAAACATTGCTTCATGCAATGGACGGAGGAAATTCAGTGGCATGTTGCGTCGTTTCAGGTCTTCATCCGTCACGCGCCGTGGAATTCCATTTCTGGATTCTATGATTGTGGCGGGTTGTCCGTGTGCTCGGATCCTAAGTTCACTTCCTCTGTTTCCATGAGTGTCCCGAGCCGCGTCGTTTTTGAGGGCCCCCTCTCCATCGGAGTACAGGGCCTTTGCCAGGCCGCGGTGTAATCGCGCGCAGTGGTATGCGCCCAACGCTGAGGTCGTGGATTTGTCGAAGATTTCTGGACCAGCTGCAAAACGCATGCGTCGGTCTATTGTGGATAACGATGTGATTTGTTATAACAGAGCAAGTCACATTCGCGCTCCGCATTGAATTTCTTTGGCAAGGCCACCGACGGCGCGGCGGTCTTGCCCGGCTTCTCCCACGCCCCGCGCTCTCGACGCGAGTCGCGCGCGTCTTTGATCAGGGAAAGCCGGTCACTGTCCAGACCTACCTTGGTCGAGATAAACCTCATCCTAGGCTCCTTAGCACGGTGTCACCTTAGGCGTAGCTGTCGGAGCTCTTTGGTGAGAACGGTTGGGTCGGGACTTCGGAGGTTCTGTAAGCTGACCTGGACATCGAAGCGAGTCCAGTCCGGAAGTTTTGGGGCAAGCGTTTCCGCGGCGGCTTCCGCCGCGGGCGGAGGCGGCGGTGGCTCTCCGCGCAGTGAGCGCCCCCGCCGGCTGGTGACCCTTAAGTGGTCATCGGCGCTCCCCGCGCCTGCCCCTCTTTCCCGCTGGCATGAATTCCTCTCGTCATGTCGTGACTCGCAGCACCCAGAGTGACATCTGCAGAAGGGCGTGGGCGAAGTGTAAAATAGTCTGGGTTTACGCGAGCTGAAAGCCGTCTGCCCCGTCGTTGCGTGTCCGCCTGTGTTTCGCGTTCTGCCGGTGGGGCTGGCGCTTCCGAAGCCATGTGTGAGGGGCAAACTGCAGGTTGATGCGGGGCAGGTGGCATTCCGTAAGGTTTTGCGAATCTGCGCTTGGCAGGTATCTTCGCATGTCCTGCCTCATTCGAACCGCGCTTCTTCACGCAGGCGTCGCGCTCCCAGTCGATGGGGCCCGCGTCGTGCCATCGACGCGCGCGTGGGCCCCTTTTGTGTGCAGGCGCATCCTTTCGGATGGTATCAGCACAGGCAGGGCGCCCTTGGTCTCCGGGAGGCGGCCTGGATATAGCGCCCGAGGGGCCGAGCGGCATGTCCTCGGCGTCGAAAATAAAGTTTGCAACGTTGACCGCAAATGCTGGGGTGCGTCTCCGCTTTTTTAACTGGGTCGACAAATGATTCCAGGAGCTTCTTCGCGATGCGGACAGCATCAACGAGGAGTGATTGACGCTTGCGCGCGCGTATTGCTGTGCTGCATTAAGCTCCTCATTGCACGCCCGCGCGTATTCACGCCGACCGTTGCACCTCGCACCTGTCAAAATAGCAGGATGATTGCGCAGAGTATGTGTAGGCTTCCTGATGAGGGTGCCATGTGAGTCCCTTAGCCCTGCGGCGCATTGGTCGACCAGGAACTCGCGTATGCACGTGCGTTCCTGCAGTGTGCGCCAGACAGATATCTCGTAAATCCAAGAACCTGTGGGTTGCTCACGTATCCAGGATCTGTGCAAGTCACCCTGAGTTTGGGCAGCGGTGCCGCAAAATATATGAGGTTGCGCATATTCCTGGCAATGTTTCCACAATGTGTTGCAAATCAGCGTGGCGTTGAAGTCTGATGGTCGTCTGGTGGCGCGGCAAACTGGTTTTAAACTAGCCAGTCCTAATTTGCATCTCTATAGGTAGTGTAGTATAAACAGTTGAACCTTCTGGTTTCCCAGATCAGCGCCAGTTCTCTTATCGAGATCACCGCCTGACGAAAGACGGCGTTAGAAGGCCAGTTGAAATGCCTCCGATTCCACCGCAGAACTCAAACATGTCAACACCAATGCGTTGTCCAGAACATACCGTCAGAATGATGTTGAAAA